TAGCGAAGACACGGCGATAGAAGACTCGAAGAAGTACTGAGAATTGTTAGTAGTAAATGGTTTACACGACTACCTTCACCCTTCCACAGCTGCGCTTTCTGCAACAATAGATCACTGCAACGTAAATGTGAACTCACATTTCCAATCCAATTCGTTAGGATAGGAAGACTTCGACGTGACGCCGCGCTGGAACCTCTTTCACTGGGACAGGACCTTGAAATGAAAAGTGATTGGATAATTTGGATAATGATTTTGCTGTCGAAAAAACTCCTTTTTCCTAGCCTATGAGAATTTTCTTGAGTTTTATCAGCAATTAAAATTTATCAAGCTTCTTAAAATTGCCAGAAACTCATCATATGATGCCCGAAATTTACGGAGTTATAGTCTAACCTATTCCATCCATTTTGGTCGATAGATATATTTTTGACTGCTGTTCGGATGAGCGCTTGCCGACGTGCCCATGAGAATTTCAAGACACTGAACTGGGAAGTGTAAGTTTATGCAAGTCGTGTCTAGAAGACCAGAACTACCCATCTATGCGAACATAGGAGCAGCGAAGAAAGAATGACGGAGCATGTATAAGGACTGAAATTAACGCGAATAGGACAGAGAAATCGAGCCCACCCAAGCAGTCGAAAAAAAAGGCTGACCTATACAAATCTTGCTTAATAAAGCAGTCAATGGCTTTGCACAATGCAGCCCATTGTTAAGTTATGTAGAGGAAAAAGTAGGTTGACGTCCCTAACACTCAGCCTCCTGCCCGTGTGTGTGAATTCCGACTTACGTCTTATCCGCTAGTGATAGGCCTAAAGGTTTCGTTTTCTTTAACGCGCTTCAGGGCATGGGTCAGGATCGGACTGGTGCATAATTTTGTTCGAAAATCACAGAAAAACCCCAGGAAGAACTGAGTAGGCGGAAAAACAAAAAGCACTAAAGGAAACATTGACTTCCTTGTGAGGTCGGCCGTGGTATAACGAGAGGGGAACACAGCGCTGCAATGAGAACGGAAACGCGAGAGAGTAGGTTTTACACGAGACGGCGCAGACGCCACGTACGCCGCGATGAAAGAACACCAGCTTTCGACAGTGCCGCGGCTCTTGTGCGCGAAAACTCCTCTTTGTCGCTTGAAGGCAAGCTTCGGGATAAAATAGGTGTGGAAAGCGTTCAGTTGATGAAGCTAGAGGTGGGGAGTGGTTTGAAAAGAAGAAGGAAGCAAGAGAAACCCCCGATTACGCCCCAAATAAGGACCTTTTCTATTTCAGCCGCATTCCACCTTGGGATAGAGAAGGGCGTGTTGGACGAGTTTCACGAGCCTGACTCCAGTTGCTCCAGTGCCAATGACATTGGATCGCGGTGGGACCGCTGCCTCAAATGCGCCCGCGCTTTTCAAGCAGCGCCACGTGGCAACCGACAGCGGAGGGTGGGGCTTGCGGACGAAGGTGTGAGTTGCGGGTTGGACGAGCTTCTTGCGCCTTTGTCGCGCACTTTCAAGCCGCAAAAGGGGCGCGACATCAACGCTTGTCCGCCTGTCTACTACGCTCGGGATGGAACAGGTGAGCTTGCCTAATCCCTGAGTGTGACTTTGAGGAGGACTGGCTCTTGCCACCTAATAGCTATCCGTGGCTTCATTGTCCGCACATCGACTAACAATGAGCACTCTTCATGTTTATTTGTTGGGAGGACCACCAACTTAACCTATTCACGATCAGGCAATT